ACAAGGAGCTGAAAGAGAGAGAAAAGAGTCAATTATAAAGAAGAGAGAAAAGTGAAACCCTCCTCAGAAGGTCTGACTCGCATACCTGCAGTTGACCTGTGATAGACTCCAGTTTGGCGTTCACGTCAACCCTCGCCGATGCCAACAGCCGAGTCTGCAGGGTGCCCTGGAAGAGCCGAGTTAATGTTCGACTCCTCCTGGTCAGGCTCTCCAGCTGGATGAGCCGAGGTCTCCCCTCTCGCCGCTGCCTCTGAACACAGAAACACAAATTGCATCTGAAGCAGGAGGTGCAGATTTTTTTTGCTATTCTTTTCTAAATCCAGGCTAGATCACGTGGAGGTATTTGGAAAACTTTTTTGGCCAGCGGACGACTGTTGTCTTGCAGAAAGTCAAATCAAACATATGCGATACACAATCAATTCACAAGAACAAATTATAAAAAACAAATCCAGTTCTTGCCTGATTTCAAATGAATTCTGCATCAAAACAGGGTAAAACGAGTGTTTGCAGCAAATGTGAGCACAAAGCCTCACTTTGTACTGTACAAGCCTGCTATTACAGTTCTCCTCTATGCAGACGACTTTCCTGTTTTCAAGGCACAACTTGGATCTGCTGTACGAATCTTATGGATACACACTAAATGAAACAATAGTGTGCACGACTCCAGATTCTGATCCCTCATCCTAATATGGTCCCAACATAGCAACAGCAATAAAGCAAATGTAGAGGCTTCAAAATACAAAGTCCATAAACCAATGGCTGACATGGGTTTTATCATAAGGGTGATAAATATACAGATTTCAGTCTGTCTTAGAGATTTTAGACTTTTAATTCTAGACTTTTAATTTCTAGGACATCTTGATATATCAAGATGTCCTAGAAATTAAAAGTATTGTATCAGTAATAATTTATTTCTCTGTCATGTGTTTTGGATTTTGTTGCTGCTGTATTTTTAAAGCTCTGTTTAGCATGTGCTTTAGCCTTTTATAGTTTACTTTAATTGTGATTTAAAAAGCATTCAGTGCAATCAGACACAGCTGTGCCTTTGGATTTTGCATCGGTGCATCACGTATAAATGTAATTAAGTGAGTGTGCAAATGAATGATAAAATCTACCTAAATGTTATAGAAAGCTTGACATTAAACATGCTGCCTTCATGGGATATCTGTTGTTATGCAGGCAAGATTATGACTGAAGACAAAAGCTGTGTAGAACAAAGACTGTTTAATGATTACTGCTTTTATAAAACCCTCATCGCCTCAGTTGCCAGATGTTTACAGGTTACAATTAAAAGAAGATGCTACTCAAAATTCAACGTGGCCTTGTTCCATCTTTTTTCATGCATTGCGGCCATCAAAAAATGTAAAATGTCTTAGTTTAAACATTTAATGTTTTCTATATGCTATTGTAAATAAAATATGGCTTTATGAGATTTGGAATCATTTGATTCTATTTTTATTTATTATACATGCAAGTCTTATATTTATTTTACACAACAGCCAAACTGTTTGATCCTGGAGTTTTAATTTTAGAAAGAACAGATTGGATTTCAAATAGCCATAAACAAGACATACTGGTCCCACCTACGGTCATGTACATTAGTTAGATAAGTCTGCAAACAAAAGCATGTGAGTTATCTTAATTGGTGATTCCAGATTTTCTGTAGGTGTGTGATTACAAATGGTTACACATTGTGTTAACCAGCGGATACGCCATAGTCTGAACAACCATATGGTTCCCATTACCCAGATTTGGATAAGTGGCTAAAAAAATATAAAATCAAATTTAAAAAAATGGATAGGTAACTCTATCTAATAAAGTATATAATTAGATTGGACCAATTTTCTATTTCAGCATTTGACTAAATGAATCCAGAAAAAAGGTTGTACTTATTAACTGTGTGCCTGCAAAATATGGAAATAACTGCAGAATCCTTAAACTGACAAATGTTTCAAGTGCTTTATGGTGTTTCTTGTTCTAAATTAGTCAAAGGAGCACGATAATGTTTCTTGTTTAAATTTGAAATTTTGAGGAAACCTTAGAAATGTGTTCAGAAGTTGTATGTCATAAAATTTGGTGCTTGTCTCCACTTTTGAAAGATTTTTACACTTGACTACGACACAATAAGAAAACAGCAGCTGTTGAAGAAATCATAAGTGTTTTATCTCTTGTCTTAAAACATCTTTAATATTTAATCTAATAACTTTTTTTCCCATACACTGACCTCTTTATTTCTCTAAAAAAAAGTCAAGTAGTTGCTGTTGGATTTAGTAATATAAAAGACGAAATATGTTATTTATCCCATTTTCAGGATTTTTTTAAAGGTGTCGTTTTGTTTTATTTGTATTTACGTTTATGAAAAAAGTAAAATAAGAGCAATATGCTTTGCTTTCAAGTCAGTAACATCGGGTGAACTCCTGTGGTATATTTGGCAGCAGCACTATTTCCCCAGCAGAGGGCGCCACATCTTATTTTAAAAAGTTTTAATCTTTCTCTCATTCTCAAAAACCATGAGCAAGTGGCCACTTTTTTTTTTCCAGTGATGTTTTTCTACAAAATAAAACTGATGCTTGTGAATTTGAGCAACAAGTCTGTTTTTATCATAAATTCTGTGGATTTTCTCAATTTTGGTAAACCATTCACCTAACCCTCATGATAAGCTATCGGAATCTGAGTAATCCCCTTAATTTAATTTAGCACCACCATTTGATTGTAATCAATTTAAGGAAATTGCAGCTACTGACAATGTTGATTT